AACCTTAAGTATCACATACCAAAGGAGTGAGAGATATATTTTTATTTTAAAATGTTTTCCAAAATCCCCAAATGTCCACAAAACATCCAGGTGGATAGGTAGCAATACTATTTGAGTTTGAACCTTGATCAGAAATCTATTTGTAAGGATTGTTACTGTAATATTTAGAGTAACTTTAGAAAACAGTCTTTACACTTATTAGGTGAAAGTTGAAGGGGCCATAGCTGAAGATCGGTTAGAAAAGGCTATGGTAACGTAGACCAATTCTGTAAAGGCAGCTTGCCAAAGGCCAGCCAGTGAAATTGGTGGCAGAGTAATTATTCATAGTTTCTTGATTTGATTTGAATATTTTAGTTTCCAGTTTTAGAATTGTAGCTAGGTGAAAAATCTGTCAGCCATTGAATATAAAAGCTACTCATGAAATTTTCCTCACTTGATGGCTGTCAACCAGAGGGGGTTCCTACCATTTTGCACCTATTCGGTAGAACCNAGAACAATTAATCAGTGGAACAGCTTGCCTCCAGAACTTGTGGATGCTTCAACACTGGAAGTTTTTAAGAGGACACTGGACAACCATTTGTCTGAAATTGTATAATGTTTCCTGCTTGATCAGGGGATTGCACTAGAAGATCTGCAAGGTCCAATGTGTTATAGATACCAAAATTGCAGGTTGTAATAAATAGGGGGTCATCTGGCATTACTTTGTACCAGGACTGTCAAATTCGTGGCCCACGGGCCGGATGTGTCATGAGCTGCCCACGCCCCCCTTTAGCAAAGGGGGGGAAAGTCCCAATACGCTATGTGACGCCGCCGTGACGACATGAGTTTGACAGCCCTGCCTTGTACCATCTCTGACTAGAGAATGAAATGAAGAAAAACACAAAAAGAATAAAACTACTACATTGGAATCAATTTCAAGTTTATTTATGTTCCTATGACACACCATCCTCAATCTTAACATTTTTACTTCTCAAAGGTAGATCATCTGCCAGCTCTTAGGATTTATAACTACCTTCTTGATTCCAACATTTGTAAAAAACTTAAGTTTCTAGTAATTACTGTAGTGATGTACCATACAATCTGGAATGGGAAATAAAAGCTCTTCATTTTGAGTTGAATATTTTCTGAATTTCCTGGTTTGTAGTGAGAAATTAATGTAGGGAATTATGGAACATTTTCATTTATTTATTTGGTTTGTATGCCGCCCTATTCCCGAGTTATAATATGATATGATTGAAAGAGTAATCATGGCTTTAAGGCTGTTAATCAAAACCAGAAAATCAGAATAGAATATTCTGCACTCTTGTAAAAGGAAGGCAAATTTATCTGAAATATATTGAACCTTTTAAAATATATTAAATTGCTTTATAGGAATAGCCATTCACCTGATTCATACCTATAAGCCAATGTGCATAATTATTCTAAAAACTTAACTTTGTTAAACGGCTCCCAGTAAATAGCTTCTACAACCTGAATGTCAGTGGGCATGTCAGTGTCAGTGGGCATGTCAGTGCGCATTCAGAACAGCTGTTGGTGATTTAAAGTAATGTTTAAGTTTTTTGTTTGTGCTTCCTTATAGCTAGATAAAATTGTGTAATAAGCACCTTCTTAATTGACACCAAACCTGCTTGCACATTTTTCAACATGGAAAGCTAGCTTTATCATCAATAAAAACTTTGTTTTTAAAATATCATTTTATTCAGTTATGTGTTTGCTTTCTGATTCATTTGGTCAGAGGCAATTTACTAATATTCTTTGAATTTAGCTAACATTTGCCTTTTCTTTTTAGTTCGTTTCAGCTGGGTCCTGAAAAGGGAGAAAAGGCTATGAAATTGAAAGTGTATTAAGCTTTTTTTTCTTTTAAATTTCATGGCACCAGTAAGGGACAACCCCCCACCCCACCCCCAATTCTGAGGCTTAGAAATTAAGTTTAAATCAGTTAAGTAAAATGATGTACTACTCTCCACTACTATATTACTTTCATTTAGTGGACCATTAATGTAAGTAATATGTGATAAATGTATCTTAATACAAAATATATTAAAACAAATAAGGTGTGTGCACTACACTTATGGGATTAAATAGGCACTCATGTAATAAACATTTTTAATATTTCATCATGTCATTAATCTGAGGTTTATCTTTTTACAATCAGTGTAGCAAGATAATCAAAATATTTTTTGGAGTTATTTGAGAATCTGTAGAAAGCCTCTTCCAGCTTATTTTATCAAAGGACAAATTGTCCTAAGTGGTGTTTAAACTTTTTCAGAAAACGGATTTTTCTGTTTAAATAAAAAAGCTAAAGCAATGGAGGTATTATTGTTCCTGTTCTGTATTTTTTGCAGCCTTCTCAGGCATGGTTTATTGTTTGAGAATTAATTTGCAGCTTTCGAAGCATATTCTTGGAGCTGAGGTTCCTGAACAACTTTTAAATCGTCATCTAAGAAGAAAAGCTAGCTAGAACATTTTCTACATTCTTCATAAAAGGAATTTGAGATGCCCAATGAATAAAAAAAAGTATTGTGGCCCATTGATCCCACATATGGGTTATGTGCACTTTTTCGACCGATTTCCCTTTAGTCTGATGATGTTACCTAGTTTGGGTAATTGAAACATCTGCAAGAAAACTACCAAGCTCAGAGAGTACCAAGGACCCCTCATTTCAGCCCTGAGCTATGAATATTCTCCTTTATTGGTTCCCTTTAGTCTTCATTTTCAAATGGGATTGATAATGATTTGGAACACATTGTTGCCATCTCATAAAAAAAGTGTACCAATTCATGTAAAAGTAGAGTAAAACAAATTAGAAGTGAGTATAACATTTAAAAAGATGAATACTGTCTAAAACTATAGTAGGAAATTGTATGTGGGAATGATTGCAGACTGGAAAACTGGCACAGAGCTACAGACTGAACAACAAATAACAGAGTTGGAAGGGACCTTGGAAGTCTTCTAGTCCAACCCCCTGCTCAAGCAGGTAACCCTATACCTTTTCAGACAAATGGTTGTCCAATCTCTTCTTTAAAAACCTCCAATGTTGGAGCACCCACAACTTCTGGAGGCAAGCTGTTCCACTGGTAAATTATTCTCATCATTAGGAAGTTTCTCCTTAATTCTAGATTGCTTCTCTCCTTGATTAGTTTCCATCCATTGCTTCTTGTCCTGCCTTCAGGTGCTTTGGAGAATAGGTTGACCCCCTCTTCTTTGTGACATCCCCTTAGACATTGGAACACTTCTATCAAGTCACCCCTAGTCCTTCATTTCATTAAACTAGACATACCCAATTCCAGCAACCGTTCTTCATGTTTTAGCCTCCAGTCTCCTAATCATCTTTGTTGCTCTTCTCTGCACTCTTTCTAGAGTCTCAACATATTTTTTACACTGTAGCAACCAAAACTGGATGCAATATTCCAAGTGTGGCCTTACCAAGGCATAGAGTAGTATTAACACTACGTGATCTTAATTCTATCCCATTGTTAATGCAGCCTGGGATTGGGTTGGCTTTATTGCAGCTGCTCCAAGACTCTCAGGAACTCTCTCACAGTTACTACTGTGTTTTCCCAAAAATAAGACTGGGTCTTATTTTCTTTTGGGCCCCAAAATAAGCACTAGAGCTTATTTTTGGGGGGTGTCTTAATTTTTTCCATCTACGAGAGGCCCACTATTTCTGTTTGCTTCCGGTGGGGCAGGAGGCCACGCAGTGCGCCAGTGCTGCCACAAAGCAGCTGCAACGGAGCCGGAGGGCGAGTGATGTGCCGGTTTGATGCCTGCAAGGCGGGTGGCGGGGGGTGGAGCTGCCCCACACTCCCTGCACTGGCTTACCTCAGGGCCCCCGCAAGCAGGCCACCCACGGTCCTACATCTGACCCGTTGCAGCAGCTCCAGCAGCCCCATCCAGCAGAACCCTGCGTGGTCGTTGTCCCACTTCTGTTTGCTTGCAGCTGCAACGGAGCCAGAGGCTGAGTGATGTGCCAGTGTGACACCTGCTAGGGCAGGGTGTGGGTGGAGTTGCCCCACGTGCCCTGCCCCAGCCTACCTCAGGGCCCCTGCATCCAGGTCATCCACGCCCTGACACCCGCCTTGCGGCCACAGCTCTAACACACCACTTGCCCTCTTCCATTGCAGCTGCGAGCAAGCAGAAGTGGGCTGGCAGCCACCTGGGCTTCTGCTGAACATGGCCGCGAGGCAGGTGTCGGGGTGTGGATGGCCTGGCTTCAGGGACCCTGAGATAAGCCGGTGAGGGGTACGTGGAGCAGCTCCACCCACGCATCACCTAGTGGCCACCACACCATGAGCAACCAGACGGAATGGGAGGGTGGTGGCACAGGTTCTTAAGTAGGTCTTATTTTTGGGATAGGTTTTATTTTCAGGGAAACAGGGTACTATTGAGCCAGGTACCACATATTCTGTACCTGTGCATTTGGTTTTTATTGCCTAAATGTAGAACCTTACTTTTTTAACCATTTAATTTCATTGTTTTAGATAGGGCCCAATGTTCAAGTCTGTCAAGATCCTTCTGTATCTTAAGCCTATCTTCTGGAGTGTTGGCTAATCCTGCCAGTTTGGTGTCATCTGCAAATTTGATGAACTCCCCTTCTACCCCTCATCTAAATCATTGATGAAGATATTGAAGAGTACTGGGCCTAAGACAGAGCCTTGGGTACCCCACTGCATACTTCCCTTCATGTGGATGCAGTTCCATTGAGGAGTACACATTGAGTGTGGTTGGTCATCCAGCTATGAATCTGTCTGTTGGTGATGCTGTCTAACCCACTTTTTTCTAATCAAGTAGTAGGTGATGGTCTACTTTATAAAATGCCTTACTGAAGTCCAAGAAAACTATACCCACAATATTTCTCTCCACTAGTTTTGTCACTTTGTCAAACAGTGCAATAAGATGTGTCTTGCATGATCTGTTTTTGACAAACCCATGTTGGCTTCTGGTTATGACTTTGTTTGCCTCTAGGTGTTTGCAGATTCATTGCTTGATTATCTTTTCCAGAATCTTCCCAGGTATTGATGTCAGACTGATTGGTCTGTAGTTTCCTGAATCCATTACACTGGACAGCGGGTGTGTAAAAAGATATCTCACTGCACAGAAGGAGGGATGCATGGGAAACATTTCAGAAGAGACCTTCCCCAACTTTCCAGAAAGTAAAAGGATAGAAGGGAAGACATGTATTTATTTTTATTTATTTACAAGATTTATATGGCCTCCCACTCACTTTCAGTGACTCTATGTGGCTTACAAAAATACTTTCAGTCTTGCAAGATTCTGTTAATGTAGCCTTACAATAAAGGTAGAGCTAGTCCTTGTGGTTGTGTTTCTTGTCTGAACTACTTTGGAAGGCTAATACAAGTAAGTTGGATTTGGATTTTCAGGTTGTGGAGGAAGGGTTAGAATTTTAGACATCTTGGGTAGTTTTGGATAAAGTGTTTCTCACTTTATGAGAATGAGTCAGTACACTGAGAATTGCGAAGAAATAATTGCTCTTTCTGTAATGTGGTATTCAGTTAAGTTGTCCTTTCCTGTCAGGGTTTCCATATTCAGATGTGGAACCTTGTTATAAAATACAGATGAATATTTTTACTGTGCGTAATTAAGTTAGCCCACCTTTCGCCTTAGATAGCCTAAGTAAAATGATTAAGACATTATTTTTAATTAACTGGATCATGATGCTTCAGGTATGATCATTATTTTTAATGTTTGTAAACTTAATGTACTTTTTGTTGCTTTTGTATATTATGTTTAAAGCCCTTGAAGTATTTGACCAAAAGAAACATTTTGTTTTTCAGTTTGAATTATTTTACAATCAACATTTCAGTGGAAGGAAACTTACCTGGTTACATTATCTTTGCACAGGTAAAATTAACCTAAAATAAACCTCTTTAGCTTTTGAAAGCATAACTATATTTTTTTTGCTTAACTGAAACATATACAACTTTTGAAGTTTTAATACTAATGATAAAGAAACCTTAAATTCAGATTAACTTCTCTGTCTTAACTAATCTGGTTATTTTAATATATCTCAGTTGGATATTTTTACTATATCTCTTGTGATTCTTATCTATAAATTGTTCAAAATTTTATGTTTTATATTCTTGATTGACCGTTTTCCAGAAAAAAAAGTTAAAAATGAATTTAGAATAGAATAGAATAACAAAGTTGGCAGGGACCTTGGAGGTCTTCTAGTCCAACCCCCTGCTTAGGCAGGAAACCCTACACCACTTCAGACAAATGATTGTCCAATCTCTTCTTAAAACCTTCCAGTGTTGGAGCATTTATAACTTCTGGAGGCAAGTTGTTCCACTGATTAATTGTTCTAACTGTCAGAAAATTTATCTGTAGTTCTAGGTTGGTTGCCTCCTTGATTAGTTTCCATCCATTGCTTCTTGTCCTGCCCTCAGGTGCTTTGAAGAATAGTTTGACTCTCACTTCTCTGTGACAGTTCCTGAGATATTGGAACACTGCTATCATGTCTCCACTAGTCCTTCTTTTCATTAAACTAGACATACCCAGTTCCTGCAACCGTTCTTCATATGTTTTAGCCTCCAGTCCCCTAATCATCTTTGTTGCTCTTCTCTGCACTCTTTCTAGAGTCTCCACATCTTTTTTACCTCGTGGTGACCAAAACTGAATGCAGTATTCCAAGTTTGGCCTTACCAAGGCATTATAAAGTGGTATTAACACTTCATGTGATCTTGATTCTGTCCCTCTGTTAATGCAGTCTAACATTGGCTTTTTGGCAGCTGCAGCACACTGCTGCCTCATATTTAAGTGATTGCCCACTAGGTCTCCAAAATCACTCTTGCAGTCACTGCTATTGAGCCAGATACCACCTATACTGTACCTGTGCATTTTGTTTTTCTTGCCTAAATGTAGAACCTACTTTTTTCACCACTGAATTTCATTTTGTTAGATAACACCCAATGTTCAAGTTTGTCAAGATCCTTCTGTATCTTAAACCTATCTTCTGGAGCGTTGGCTAATCCTGCCAGCTTGGTGTCATCTGCAAATTTGATGAGTTCCCCATCTATCCCCTCGTCCAAATCACTGATGAAGATGTTGAAGATTACTGGGCCTAAAACAGAGACTTGGATACCCCACTGCATATTTCCCTCCATGTAGATGCGGTTCCATTGAGGACTACACGTTGAGTTCAGTTGGTCAGCCAACTCCACATTTCATGAGTATAAGTTGAAGACAAGAAAGTATTACAATAAAAAGTGGATTTAGGCATACAGGTAGTCCTTGGTTTATGACCACTTGTTGAATGATCATTGAAGTTAAGACAGCAGTGAACGAGTAGTACTTATGGCCTGTTCACAAAGTTCCGGCCCTCTCAACACCTCCTCGGTCACATCATCAGGATCTGGGTGCTTGGCCATCAGCTCGCACTTACAGTGATTGCAGCATCACATGACCACCATTTGTGACCTTCCATGTTGGCTTCCCACAAGCAAAGTCAAGGGGAAGCTGCGAGGGAAGGTTGCATAATGCTCTCAGAGTTCTCATACTCTGTTGTATGTGCGCTCGTAGCACCCTCACTCCAGTGTACTTTCACCCACCCAGAAGCAGCCAGCCTTGCTGTGTTTGTGCTGTGGTGGCCACCTGCGCACCCTGTCACCTGGCAGCAGCCACCCCTGGCCCCACTACACTCATGCCACACCGCAGCAGCCACTTGCAATCTGCCTGGGACTTGTGACTTTCTGTTGGCTTCCCCACTGACTTTGCTTTCTGGGAAGACAACAGGAAGTTGCGAGGAGGTTGCTGGCATAATGCCCCATGATGTTCACTTAATGATGGCAACAGGGTCTGCCATATTGCCATTACTAATCAATGTGGTCATGTGATGTTGCACTTTATGATCATACGGCTTAGTGACATAAATTCTGGTTACAATTACTGGTATTAAGTGAGGATTACTTGTACATGCAATTCTGATCTTGAACCAAAACTTGAGCATATTTGATGGAAGGACAAAACCAAAAGCATCATGGATAAAAGTTAAGCATAAGCAGGGGGCACCATGTAGCTGATTTTGGCTGATTGTAGGCTAAACAGGGTAATTGAAAAAATGCACTGAAAGAAGATGGCGCCAAACTACTGCTATGTTGCCCAAAGAATATGTGAATATATTCACATAGCCACCCGGCCTGGAGCTTCAGAGTCTTTATATTTTATTCAGGAGAGTGAATTTTTCGGGCACCGTGTATAAATGTTATGGCAAACAAGGTCTTTACAATACCTACACATGTAACTTTATTCAAAATCTTTCTTCTCTTTTAATTCAGCTCTAATCAGCATTCTAACTTAATTTTTTTTCTTAAAAAAAAGCTTCTGTAGTCTCTGTTAGTATCCTTTTTAAAAATCTAATTTCTCTTCAGGACAGTCTTGCAAATTCATTTCTTCTTTCTGAATTTTCCTACCCTTGGATTGAAGGTGGCATCATTCTTGCCCCCAAGCTGAAGGAATGATGTGATGCTTTATATGTGAGACTTTTATTCAATTAATTCATCAGCTTTATACTTAATTTGCAGGTGAGGTAAAAATGAATTATTTGTGCAAGCCGTATGTAGCCATGGTTACCACCTACCAAATGGCAGTGCTATTGGCCTTTAACAATAGTGAAACCATTAGTTACAAAGAACTCCAGGATAGCTCACAGATGAATGAGAAGGAACTGATCAAAACTATCAAATCATTACTTGATGTCAAAATGATCAACCATGACTCGGATAAGGTAAGTCTTTTTTGACGGGGAAATGCATTTTATTATTATACATTTTGAAAAAATAGAAATAGAAGGTACAGATAGGAAAAACAGGTACAGTAGAGAAATACAGATGTTAGGTTTCCGAAAGATGCCCTAATTAACTTACGATCCTCGAGCCAAATTTCAAAACAAATCCAGTCATTTATTAGGAACAACATCTCGGTAATTCCCACGTGGAATCAGATCTAACCTCAGTTAAATTATGGCTGAACTTTACCCCTGTTTCTCCCCTCCCCCCAGTCTGTGTCATAAATCATATTCGCCAACAAGGTGCTGCAGCAGGTTGTAAAATTACGCGCCTCACAAGCCTGCTGTAGTAATCTGAGATCCGACTCTAGTCGAAGGTATGTGTGGAATTCTCTAACGACTTTCCCCCAATGTCAGTTTGATAACAGACATGGAAATGCTTTACAAGTTGACATTTGGCTCCCCTCACTTCCTGAAGGTGACCTGTGCGAAACAAAAACAATTTGAGTACAGGTACAGAATTTAGGGATGCGTGTCCCCCCAGTCTTGCTTGGATTTTCTGCATGGAATTTTCTTATAAGGCAATCAGCCTGGATATTTTCACTTTTTACCCAAGATGCCTCTGATAAGGGGTAGCCCTTCCGCTTGATTAAGTATTGGAGTTGTCTCCTATGCCACCTCGAATCAAGGATTCACTGCACCTCATAATGGGTTTGGTCCCCTATGACCACAGGGCCTGGGGGCTCCCGGTATAGTGGTCTTAGAGTGGATCCAACCATGGGTTTTAAGAGGCTACTATGGAATACCGGGTGTATCTTCCCTAGCAGTCAGGGCAATTTCAATTACACTGTGACTGGGTTGATGATCTTTACTATGGGGAATGTTCCCATAAACTTTGGCTGCAGTTTCTTGCTAGGGTGTTTTAACCTCAAATATTTTGTGGAGAGGTAGACCTTCTCTCCCACCTGCAATGGCCATTGCGGAGCTCGGTGTTTATCTGCCAGTTTATTATAGGTCTGTGCCACTTTAGCTAGTGCTTTTTTGACATTCTCCCAGGTTGCTTTCAGCGTTGACATCCAATCAGTCAAGCTGACTAAGGAGGAGGGATCCCTTGGCTACTCACGTATTGGGACGAAGTCCATGCCGCTCACTACTTTGAACGGTGTTACTCCTGTGCTACTGTGAACAGCATTATTGTACGTGACCTCAGCAAAAGACAGGAGGTCTGCCCAATTGGACGGCTGATAGTTCACATATCACCTCAGGTACTGCTCTACCATGGCGGTCAGTCTCTCTGCCTCCCCATTGGTGCTTGGTTGAAAAGCCGAGCTAAGACCCTGGGATGACCCAATGGACCGCAGGAACTCCCTCCAGAACTTAGCTGTGAACTGGACCCCTCTGTCTAAGATAATTCTTTGAGACACTGCATGCAGGCGGTAGATGTGCTTCAGGAACAGTTTGGCCACCTGGTGGGCTGAGAGTAGTCTGCTGCAGGGTATGAAGTGTGCCTGTTTGGAGAACAGGCCTATTACAGTCCAAATCACCGCGTTCCACCCCACTTTTTGGCAACTCTACTATAAAGTCCATTGCGATCTCCTCCCATGGCCTTGTTGGCTCTGCTACCGGTTGCAGCAGTCCGGGAGGTTTCCTGGTCGTCTCTTCATTTTGGCACAAATGGTGCAGCTTTTCATGTAACTGTCCATGTCTTTTTTTATGCTGGGCCACCAGCACTGCCTCTGGTCTAAGTGTAAAGTCTTTAGGAACTCAAAGTGGCCTGCTGCTTTGGTGTTGTGGCTCCTCTGTAGAATTAGGGTCTGTAGGGATTTCGGTACGTAGAATTTCGTCCCCTTCCAAGCGAGTTCATCTCTTTTTGTCAAGATGTGTTGGTTGTCTCAGAGCCAGGGGTCTGCTAGCAGTTTGGTTTTTAGTCTCGTGGTTAGGTCACTTGCTGGTTGGTCTTGCCGGTCACGGCATTGTTGTCTGGTGGTCACTTGAGCAGCTGTTTGAGTATGGGGAACGTTGGCGTCCACCACCTGCTCCCATTTGCATTTGTACTGGGGCATGCAGGAGAGGGCGTCCACTAGAAAGTTCCTCCCCCCTGGAATGTGCTTTAGTATGAAGTCAAAATGGTTGAAGTATTGAGCCCAGTGGACTTGTTTGGGTGAAAGTTTCTGCGGGTTCCTGAGGGCCTCCAGATTTTTGTGGTCAGTCCAGACTTCGAACGGTTTCTGGCCCCCTTCCAGCAGGTGTCACCAGGTTAGCAGTGTCCATCTCACCACGAAAGCCTCCTTTTCCCATGCGTCCCACCGTCTCTCTGTGTCTGTGAACTTGTGGGAGATGTAGGCACAGGGCTGTAGGTTTCCTTGGCTGTTTCTTTGGAGTAGCACTGCTTCCACTGCCACGTCGCTGCCATCTGTTTGGATAACAAAGGGTTGTTCGGGGTCAGGATGTCAGGATGTTTCAGCACCAGTTTCTTTGCAAACATTTCTTTTAGTATTTTGAATGCCTCTTGGCAGGTTAGACTCCACTGTAGAGGTTGTCTCAGGCGAGGTTTTGTTCCTGGGCTTCCTGTCTTTAGGAGGTTCATTATGGGTTTGGCAATGTTCACGAAGGAGGGGATGAATTGCCTGTAGAGGTTCACAAACCCTAGGAAGCTTTGTAGCTGCCTGTGGGTGCGAGGGGGTTGCCAGCCTAGGATGGCTTGTACTTTGACTGGGTCCATCTCTATTCCCTCATTTGACACTCAGTAACCCAGGTAGTCTAGCCATGCATGGTGGTATTCGCATTTTGATTGCTTGACATACAGGTTGGCCCGCCACAAGTTTTTCCAGTACTTGGCGGACCAGGGGTATGTGGTTGTCCATGGTCTCAGTGTAGATGAGGATATCATCCAAGTAGACGAGGACCCCTGTGTAGAGTTACTCAAGCTGCACCTTGTTTATTAACTGCATGAATACCGCTGGGGCTCCCTGCAGTCCAAAAGACATCACTTTGAGTGAGTCTCCAAAGAGGGAACAAACGGCGCCTGAGCTGTGAGGAGCAGGAGGGAACAAACGGCGCCTGAGCTGTGAGCAGCAGGACGAATTACAGAATCTGTAGAGAGTGAAAGTGATTGTAGTTGCTGAGTGGAGAATTTCTACTGATTTCTGAGACTGGATCTATGGTGATATAAATTGAGAGTTTTGTGTGCGTGGTGAATGGATTGAGAAAGAAGGAAAGAACATTTTCCTTTTGCAAGAGACAAAGGCAGAAGGAAGAAAGAGAGGGGACAGTGACTGTGCAATTTTGAGGACAGCAGTCATTTCGAAGCACAGAGGACAAAGAAGTTGCAAGGGAGTAGAGAGATCGAGGAATAAGAACTGTGATATTCCCAACTTGAACTTTGGATTGGACTCATTTATAACCATCTTTGTGTACTTCTGATGTCTCTACATTATTTATGGTATTTAAATATTGTTATATTTACCACGGTGATCTTTAGATGAAAGAATTTAATATTTTATAAGCTATACATTTTATATATCCTAAATATCTATACTCCACATATACTTAATGTAGATTCAAGCATATTTAAAACAGGATACAATTTATAGCCACTTCCTTTATTACTGCATATTAGAAAATTTATCTAGCTTTAAAACAGGAATTGTTGATTAACAGTAACCTTCAATTAATTTAATTGATTGCATATACTGATTTATGTATTTATGAACGTTTAGTAAATTCATTATATAGTGAAAAAGTGTAATAGACTATTTAACAATCTTATAGATATTATAAATATTTAATTATTTCTCTCCTTTGCTCCCTCTCCCCCTTTAATATGGTTAAGTTGTCAGAACAATCCATAATAATTAACTACAAATATAATAATCTATAATTGTGATTTAATTTATAACTTTATATAATTGTCTATAGAAAATTGATATTAAGGGTTGGATTTAATCAGTGACTTATATAACTTTACTATTGTTAACTATCAGATAAAAAAAAAGAGGGATAGGAGAAGGGACAATGCTTAGGAAAACACCTAGCGTGAAAAATTGGAAACATATGGTATTGTGGAATAATTTTTTCCAAAAGTTAAAGATCACAAACACATCCATAGCTACCAAAACTGTAAAGAAAACGCTGCCAATGATAGCCTCTCCAGCAGGACAGAAGTTAACAACAGACATGCCGAGCAGTGAAAAACCAGGATCTGCACCAACCCTACAAAGCCTACAAGCCTCATTAGACATGATTCAGGTATTTATGATAAAAACACAAGAATCAGTAACCAAAAATCATGAGGACATGAAAGGCGATCTAGGGGAAGTGAAAGGCGGTCTAGGGGAAGTGAAAGATGATATAAAGAAGTTGGATGATAGAATGGGGAAGATACAGGAAACAATAGCTAAAAATGAGCAAAAAATAAAACTGGTAGAAGCAAGGACAGAACAGATTGAAAAGAAATTGGAAGCAACAGAAGAAAGACTGACAGCAGCTAATAGAGAACTGGTAGAGGCAATAGTCCATTTAGAATTAGAACGATCCTCATTCTAAGATTTCAGAACATAGTAGAGACATAAAAGGATCTACCAAAACTCACAAGGGATCTTCTAGCTGACCAACTGTAAATGGACAAAAGTGAACTGAGGAACAATATTGATGAAATCTATAGAGTGCATACTAATTATGCACGAAGATATAGGTTGCCCCGTGAAATACATATAAGATTTGCAAAAAAGGCTGTCAGAGATAAAATTTATAAAAGAACAAGGGACAAACAGCTGGTCCATAAAGGAAAAGAAGTCATAACCCTTAAACAGATACCAAAGAGAATCAGAGAGCAAAGAAGGAACTACCAAGGATGGATGTAGAAGAGGTAGAAATAACACTGAACATGTGGACGGACCATAACCCATTAACAATCAAATGGAAAGGAGAAGCAAAAAGGAAAAAGAGATGGACCATGAATCAGAGGGTTGTAAAAGAAAAGAACTATGTACAGTAT